TCGGGTGTCCTGGGGATAATAGCCCTGTATACACACCGCCACTGGGAGTGCAGCAGGCCGTGCACCCAGGGCTCTGGCACGCTCCAGCTCCTCTTACAAGGACTGGCTGCCAACACATAAGTCTCGGGGGAGATGGATGAGCCAGGTCCAGGGTCCCCGTAGTGGTCCTGAAAGGCCGTGGCTGTGGGTGTGGGTGTTGCAGTACATGGGCTGAGTGAGCCTGAGCCCAGCTGGCCTAGAGAATGGCCTTGGCTGCCCAGGGCCTGGATGTGCTGGTTTCCCCTAGACACAGCTCCTGGCCGAAAAATGCCATTCTTGCCCATAGACCCTGCCTGCCCTGCTTGGCTCTATCTTGTGAGGGGACCCACAGTTGCAAACGGGTTGCTGCTGCAGAAACCCCAGCACAGCTCTCTCAGCAACCAGGGAGGCAGGTTTCTTCCCACAGCACACAGACTGCCTCTGGCGCCCTACCTCCCCGACTGGTCTGTGCTCCTGGACACCAGCAAGGTGGATCTTGCTCTGTCCCATGCTGAGTGTGACCAGGCAGAGCAGGGCTGGCTCCTGCTATGGGGGCAGCAGGCCTTAACCAAGGTGGGCAGAGCTGTGAATGGTGGGCTGAGCCCCCACAAGAGCACACTGGACTTCAGGCCCCTGGGCTGCCTGCCCCAGGAGCTCCTGTGGTCTCTCCTCTTGTTCGCACGCCTAGCGGCATCGCAGCCTCCTCCATCCTTTATGTGTTGACCTCAACATTTGGGTAGGCTGTTTCTCTGTTGTACCTCCCTCTCTGTCGTGACATAGGCTCGTGTGTGTGTGTGTGTGTGTGTGTGTGTGTGTGTGCGCGCGCGCGCGCGCACCTGCTGCTTCCCCTACTCCCAAGAACATTTTTCCTAAGACTGGGGCCTACCTGGCTGGTTCCCGTCTCCCAAGGGAGACACGTGGTGTGCAGCCCGTCAGTAGAGGAATCCCACTTGCCCGGGGCACATTGAAGGTGAGAGCATTTGTCATGTGAAGTGGCAGTGAGTGGAAGGTCCGCACTCAAGAGCCAGTCACAGATGGAGGGGAGATCACGTGACTAGCATCAGCCCTCCACCCTTGTGGAAAGGACCCAACAGAGGTGCATGCATCCTGTGCATGAAGGGCTGTCACTCAGCTGCTTTCAACTTTTTCTCCTCCCAGGCCCAGTTCCAAGCCTGTTGTCTGCTCTTGCATCTGCCGTGTCTGCACCAAGCAGCGCTCCTGTGCCTGCCTCTCTTTCTCAGAGGCCATGCTGCTTTCTTGCAGCACACCCTGCTCCCTGTCTCTGGCTGTTGCTCTGATGGACTGGGAGCCCTGGGGTAGGCCAGGTCCGTGAGCAGTCTGCTTCCCACCAGGACTTTGGCCAGGTCCCCTTTCCTTTCAGTCCCTGGAGAGCAGCTTCTGCATGTGGTGCACAGTGTCCACTCTAGAAGGCACTTTTCCTCGTTGCCTTCAAACAGAGCCCTGGTGTCAGGTCAGCTGCCTTCTCGTTCTCTGTGGGAGAAGTGTGCTTGGGTCTGTACCCTCACAGATGGCTGTTTCTGAGGCCTCACAGCGTTCCAGATCCCAGCAGGGTCTTCCCAGCCCAGAGCTCTCCCTGCTGCCTGCAGCCTCATGGCTTGCCCTTTGGCACCCTGGCCTACCAGATGCCGGGAGCAGCTGAGTGGCACAGTCTAGAGAGCCATGTGATTTAGCACTCTTTTCTTTTTTCCTTGATCTTTTAATTTAAAAAATAGAGACGGGATCTCACTGTGTTGCCCAGGCTGATTTAGAATTTGTGGCCTCAAGTGATCCTCCCACCTGGGCCTCCCAAGTCACTGTGCCAAGCCACTGTGCCTGGCCTGATTGATCATTCTTTTTCAGAAGCGCTTTCTCTTCTCTCAGGGCACATGTCCCTTTTAGATTTTGGGACACTTGGACAGGTGAACTGATTATGGGGTAGTTTCCTTGATTGAGACATCAATTTGTACAATAAGCCCTTGAAATTCTTTGTCTGAACCGCATAGCTTGTGCCTAAGGCCTTGAATCTGTGTTGGGTGTGCTGCCAGAACACCCTCAGATTCAAGTGTCTTCTGGAAAGGCCGCTGGCTGGCGTGGCGGGAGGAAAGGTCCCACACAGGGCTGGGGCCCGCTGTTTGCAGCACCTGGCTCGTTTGCCGTGTGGGCGAGGGTGTCTCTGATGCCTCCTGACTTTCAGTCACTGTCTCTGCCTGTTCAGAAAGCGGGATAGAACAGGGCCAGGTGCAACAGGCCTGATTTCTGCTCCTGCCTTCCCCCTTTGGAGTGTGTAGAGCCTACCCCGGCCCATTTGTGCCCTGTGGCGGCCTCTCCTGCCTTTCTCCTACACGTCTAGTAAGTCTTTCCCCAGAACTGTGTTTCCTGCTTTGAGATGACAAGTGCCTTCCAGCCTGGCAGGGCTCAGATTTGCTGTTCCGGTTAAGAGGCCTGGCCTGGGTCTGTCTGCCCGCTCCTTTGCTCACTCCATGGTCCGTGTTCATATCTGACTTGTCATTTGGTTAGCCAGCCTCCCATCTGCTGGAGTACACTGGCCCTTGGAAAGGGTAGGGTGCACGTGTCATTCCATTCTCATCTTTTTGAGGACCCCTACATTTGTAGGGTAGCCTCTCAGCCAGCCAGCAGCACAGCAGGCCCCGTCCTGAGTGGGTGGGCCACATGACTCCTGTCATAATTGGTGGCTTTCAGTTCACTTGTGTACAGAAATACTTCAGAGCATTTTCTTTGCACATGGTCTTTAATATTTTCTCCTGTTCAAATCCACTTTTTTTTTTAGAGGCAGGGTTTTGCTTTGTCACCCAGGCTGGAGTGCAGTGATACTATCTCCGCTCACTGCAACCTCCATCTCCCAAGTTCAAGCGATTTTCCTTCCCCAGCCTCCCAAGTAGCTGGAATTATAGGCACCTGCCACCACACCCAGCTAAATTTTGTATTTTTAGTAGGGATGGGGTTTCGCCATCTTGGCCAGGCTGGTCTCGAACACCTGACCTTGTGATCCACCTGCCTTGGCCTCCCAAAGTGCTGGGATTACAGGTGTGAGCCACTGCACCCACCCACCTTTCCTTTTAGGGCTGGATACATGACTCTTCTGTAGAAGAGCTTCTTCAGTGAGCCTTATGGCTGTGGGTTTCCTCTCTAAGTGTGGTTCTCTTCTGTGTCACTGCTAAGGATCCAAGTGCACCCATCCCATCGCCAGAGCCCAGGCAGCAGCGGCCTTGCCACACTTGGGGAAAGGGACCCTGTAGCATCAGTAGCAGGCTCAGAGGCCTTCTGTGCCAGTTTGCTTCGTTAGTGTTCCACACAGCCACGTGAAAAAGCGCAGGCCATCATCCTTACTCACAGCCCTGAGACCTCGGGCTCTCGCAACTGAAACCTTACCCTGACCTGGTGGCAGACCTGGCCCGGGCTGGCTGAGGTTGCTCATAGCCTCGTGCCTCCCGTCTTGTGGGAGGGGTCCCAGACTTCTGCACAGGGTTGCTGTGTCCCTCACAAGCTACTATTTTAGACCCTGTGATGTCACCTTTCTAAAGCCAAAATATTCCCAAACTCTCAAAAGACACCTGGCCCCACAGCGTTCAGATGAGGGATGACAGATCTGTATTTTCACCCCCATCTTACAGGCGAGACGCCCAGGATTCAGGAGGTTGTGGTTGGCCGGGGTGGTAGTGCCAGGTTGTGCCGGGCCCCATGGCTTGCCTTCCTCTGGCACAGCAGCCCCATGCAGTAGCCCCCTTTCTTCATGTGCCTTTGTAAGTACTGTATGTTCACAGAGTTTTTTCATTCTTACTTAAGAAAGGAAAAGAAGAGGCTGTGCAAAGAAGAAAGTGGAAATCACCTGTGTCATTGCTCAGAGTTCGTTCTTGTTGGCACGTTACCAGTGAGGTGTTTCCTCTGAAGCCCAGTACTCACGCTCACGTGTTGCGTAGTTGCTGCTCGTATTTTAAGCAAGGCATGGTGCACGGAGGCTCTCAGTGCAGCGTTTTCCTTCAGCCCACAGCAGCCTGCCAGGGTCACCTGCCTTGTTCTGCAAAGGGGAAGGCGAGCTTAGTAGGTCAGGTGACTTGTCCACACTCACAGTCACGACAGCCTGGACCCAGGATTTGAACCTGGGCCTTTTCCCCCATGGCATGTGAATTGTATAAAGGCTCTTAAAATTGGAGTCGCCGATGCCCTCAACCTGGTGTCCTTGATCCACATGTGTATTTACTCTGTGGGCAGGAAGCACCAGCCGGAGAGTACCAGCATGGAAACCCAGCTTCAGTTGGGTACACTAAGTCCTGTGTGCCTCTTCAGCCTCACCCTCAGTGTCCTTGCCAACTTGGCCTGTCCCAGGTGGTGTGTGCTGAGAGCCTCATGGATGTCATCCTTTTTTAGGCCTGCCAGTTTGCTGCTAGCTAGTCACTCAGGCCCCTCATCCTCTGTTGCCTACTTGCTGTGGCTCGGGTCACATGAGCAGAAGGCCATGGGCATGAAGGAAACCAGGAGGCCTGAAGGAGCTTCTGAGTGCCACACACTCAGCATGTCAGCCTCAGACGACTTCAGCTCCGTATCCCTTTCTTGAGTTGTTTTTGTATGATACTCTAAGACTTAAGAACTTATCTTAATCATCCATTATTTAGTGATTTATTTATTCATTTTGGAATGTTGAATATTTTATTGTTTATACATATAAAGTAACAATAGAAAATGGGCATGGAGGCCAGGCGCGGTGGCTCATGCCTGTAATCCCAGCACTTTGGGAGGCTGAGGCGGTCAGGTCACCTGAGGTCAGGGGTTCAAGACCAGCCCGACCAACATGATGAAACCTCATCTCTACTAAGAGTACAAAAATTATAGATGGGCGTGGCGGCGGGCACCTTTAATCCCAGCTACTTGGGAGGCTGAGGCAGGAGTGTTGCTTGAACCACGGAGGCAGAGGTTGCAGTGAGCCAAGGTCATGCCACTGCAACTCCAGCCTGGGTGACAAGAGTGGGACTCTGTCTCCAAAAAAAAAGGTAACGTGGTGATCATCTGTTATTTAAAAGACCACTGTGCTAAATGATGGTTAGTTGGATATTCACAATATTGTATTGCCGAGTGATTGATGAATTATTTGTGTTTGTTTTTTAACTGAAAAGGGGGCCATAAGCCCAGCACACCAATATGTACAGCCCCGGTCCTTGCAGGTGTAGAGGCTGGATGGCGGGGGTCAGTGTGTGGATGCAAGTCTGCGTTCTTTGGGTTGCGAGGATGTCTTGCACCTTTGCTAAGCACCTCTAGTCTGTGTCCAGATCACTTTTAGTAGCTACACGGTCCTCCCTCCAATCATAAGGTGGTGACAGTGTTCTCCTTTCTTGCTTCTGTGAATGTTGATGGTTGCATCTTTGCAGAAACAAGGCTATATCTGATCTAGTGTGTTTACTATAAATCCTGGTGCTGGAAAGCTCTTATCATCTCAGCTCCTGTGCATTCACATCCAAGTGAGGCAGGAGGATTTGAATGGATTTGAACTTTCCAAATGAGTCTTGTTTTGTTTTCCTAGTGGAAACAAAGAAAGAGTGTGTTCTCTGCTTCGATTTGAGCTGACGTAGAATACCACGTTCACATTTCCTGTAGTGCTCATTACTGCAAGAGTGGTAAAAAGACACAAGCCAAAGACCAGAAAAGAGAGGCTCCTGTCACTCGGCATGAATTCAATATGCCTTCTCTGAACATTTCTTCATTATTATTATTTTTATCATTTATTTAAAAAGTGATTTTGCTGGATTGCTTAAGGGATATAAGTCTCATGAATCTTTTCTGTTCCTCTTAAAAGACTTTTTGGTAACCAAATATCTTTGAGGCAAAAAATTTAAATATTTAAGCTGTAAACTTTTGGGCTATTATAAATCCAGGGTTTGGTTTCAGCATTTTTTCATTCAGCAAATAATGATGGACTGTTGACTGTGAGCCAGACGCTGCCTGGACCCAGCACCTTGGTGGTGAGCACGCAGACGCGGGCCCGTCCCGGGGGTCACAGGGTTCAGCCAGCATGTGGTGTTGTCAGCACAATGATGCTCAGGTGTGGCCGCAGCACTGCAGGGCCTGGGGCTGCAAGGACCTGTCGTGGACAGAGCTCAAGGAAAGCCACCCCTAGGAAGGGGGCGCAAGCTTCCATCTGACAGTGAGCTGAGTCGAACAATCCAGAGAGAAGAGGGAAGAACACGATCAGGCCTGGAATTCACAAAGGGCTCTTTGCAGTGTAAAGCAAGGCTGGAGGAGTTGAGGAGGGAATGAGAGAGGCCACTTGGAAAGTGGTTTTACCAGGCTGGGTGTGAGGGCAGTGGTGCAGAGGACTGTGGTGTGCAGGTAGTGGGAAGAGGGGCGGGGGCGGCATGGGACTGGCGAGATGGGTTGTGCTAGGGCTCACTGGAAGAGGCTGGGATCAGGCCAGTGAGTACTCCATCCTGGATGGTCCTGGATCAGGGGTGTCAGGTGGGCAGCTGGTGCCCATGTGGGCTGGGGTGGCGTAAAGAGGGGTCTCAGCTACAGGTTGGTGGGAACAGGTCCTGGGACAGTGGGTGGCTTAGGGAGAGGACCAAGCAAGGGTCAAGTTTGGCTGTGCATCCAAATCCCTGTGGGTGAGGCCCAGCTTAGAGCTCCTGAGTTGTTCTAAGACTTGACAACCAGGGTGAGGAGCCGGCTGAGGGTGAGCAGCAAGGCGGGCCACTCCTGGCTGCTGGCATCACTGCCCCAAGGCACCCAACTCCTCTACCCAAGACTTGTAAAGTAGAGGAAGTTTGTGTTTTTTTTTTTGTTCTCCAAATTTTATTTAAATGCTCAAAATTTTAAAACCTGAAGTGCCATTTTCCTGCCCAGAGTTGTTAAATGTCATGAAAGCCTGCTCTGTCCAGTGCCCTGTGTGCTGCAGTGCTTTTCCCTGGCGCCTCAGTGCACTTCGGCGGGACCCTTGGAGCTGTTGGGTATGCTGTGATCATCTCTGCTCTACAGATATGGGACCTAAGATTTGGAAAATGGACGTAAATTCAATTCCCATGACAATATCTAGGTCCCACACCCAGCTTCCTGCCCCTTCTGGTTTGGAGCAAGCAGTGCTGATTGATAAATGCTTTCCCCACATTAAGATGGTGTTCTCTGCTTTAGGATGATGATCTGGAAGAAGGTGAAGTGAAGGACCCCAGTGACAGGAAGGTGAGGCCCCGTCCCACCTGCCGGTTCTTCATGAAAGGTAACTGTCTGCATGTGGGGCCTTCTCACAGCCAGCTGGGACCCTGGCTCACCTTGGCAGGCCCTGTGCTGCTCAAGGCAGTTCTCTGGGCCAGACTAGACAGGTGGTGGTGGTGGTGGTGGTGGTGGTGGTGGTGGCGGCGGCAGTGGCAATGGCGTTATTTACGGTGAACAATAGGCCCTTTTATGGTGCTTTCATCACTTTAATGACTGCCTTGTGGGAGCATCCTGGTCATTCTCATTCTCACACTGGTGGTCCCAGGCCCTTGCGATTACAGCAGACCCATGTCTGTACTGCAGATGGTGTCCGTCATTTTTCAAAATGGTCCTTTTCATAAGGCCAAATGTTCTAGGCGCCAGAATTAGCTTCTGTCCCAACTCTGTAGAGATGGCCCCTTTTCCTGCATGATGTGCCAAAAGCGTATGTTTGTGTGAAATGGATTTCAAAATGGCCAGGGATGGCTACTGAAGCAGCAGGGCTCTCTCACGTAGAAGGAGTCGTGTGAGTTCAGTTGCTGCAGCAGGGAGCAGTGTAAGAAAGTCTTGTCTGAAAACTCTGGGCTAACCCATGTTAAAATGTGACAGAACTCTGTAGCATGATGATGTTACGGCTTTTTGTTTTGCTGATTAACATCTGGGGGGATTCGGAAACGTAAATGAGAATTTCCACCTTGTAAGAATATCTTTGATGTGTACAGCAATAGTTTTGGCATATTTCTGGTAATTCAGCATTCCCTTGGATAGGTGGGAAGATGTTTTTCTTCTTCTCTTAATGTTGCTGTAAGCCTGTAGATGACTTTGTCACTGCCAGCCTGTGTGTGCCATCCAAAGCTCACGAGAGCTTCCTGTACTTCTTTTCCAGATGTGACTCCATTGTCCACTCTTCCACCAATATCCAATTCCATACCATTCAGAGGCCAGGTTAAAGGTACCAAATACGCTATATTCACTGTCTTCAGTGCCTTAAAGTCCCCCTACCCCGGAGGCCAGACTTCCTTCTCCTGGATCCAGGACACAGCTGTGAAGCCAGAAGGAAAGGGGGTCATTGAGGGGCAGAGAGCTGTTTGGAACCTCCTCCTTAGAGGCACGGGAGCTGGTCGAGGATCAGGGACAGGCAGGAGAGGGCACCCTTGGGGTGCAGTGGAGCCCCATCACTCAGGGAGGCAGGCTGTACACTTAGAGCAGCCATGAATGCCTCTGCGTGACAGATGACCTGCTGATGTGAGGCCCATGGTAACCCCAGGTCACACTCGCTCCTGTGGGCATGTGATCTTGGCCTGCACTGTCTGCATGCTTGCTTTTGCCAAGCACAAACAGTTGATATGCCCAAGTCACACGTGCATGTGAGGGGTCCCCACTGGGGAGAGCCTGCGTGGGCGGCAGACTTATAGCCACGGATCATCACATTCTTCAGAATGCAGAGAAATATGCAGGACATTTTAGAAAGTAAACTGTTACAGTTCTCTAAAAGCTTTGGTATTTGCAGTGTTAGTATTTCAGAAAATTTAAATTTAAGCAGAAGATCTCTTTTCCATAATGGTGTGGGAATAAATGGCATCAGTGTCTCAAATTTCCTGGTGAAATTGATGGAGGGAAGCTGCACACAAGCACACACTGGCAGTCATTCGAATCGGCAGCAGTCACGGTGCAGGCTCTGGTCTCTGGGTGGCAGTGTGACTCAGACGCGTGGCCAGTCGGCGCTGGCCTGATGGTTCCAACAGCAGGAGGCAGCATCCGCCAGGGCAGGGAGGCTCTGGACCAGGAACTCAGGGCGCACTGCTGAACTGGTTCCAGACTTTAACAACAGAAGCACAAAACAGATGAAGAGAGATCATTCCTGGAGCTCTTCATTCGTGTCACTGGGAGCTGCCTGGATGAACACAGACAGGATCCTGTCTCCCTGGACATCAGTGTCACATGGTTGGTTAGAATTGGCAGGTGGTGCCCCCAAGGTTAGACTAAGTACCAAGTGGGTTTCTGTGAGTGAGACCACGTGGAAGGGTTTGTACACTCAAGAAATCAATTCGAGACCAGCCTGGGCAACATAGTGAGACTTTGTCTCTACAGAAAATGAAAAATTAGCAGGGCCTGGTGGCACTCACGTGTCATCCCAGCTGTGTGGCAGGTGGGGGCTGAGGTGGGTGGATCACTTGAGCCTGGGAAGTTGAGACTGCAGTTGAGCCGTGATCGTGCCATTGTGCCCCAGCCTGGGTGACAGTGAGACCCTGCCTCTAAAAAAAAAAGAAATCAGAAGCTAGATCAGGAGGTGTTTTGGCAGCTTAATCAGGTGTTATGAATAAGTCATTTCAGGAGTACTTTTATTCTGTAGAGTGAGATGATACTGCACAGAGGAAGTAGCTGATTCTTCCCATTTTCTAGATCATGTCTCCCGGTGCTGCTTAGTTATGAGAAATTTGGACGTAAATGTTTTTGCCTACCTGCAGTTTATAAGCTTGGTGTGAAATTGAAATTCCCCTGTTTATGATCCCTCAAGTACAAGTTATTTTAAAGACAAAGTTTATCGTGTTGCCAAGGATAGGGAGATGCCGGAACCCTCATTCACTGCTGTTGTGAAGGTAAAATGATGCAGCCGCTTTGGAAGCCAGTTTCTGAAAAGCTTCCAGGTACTCACTTCCGGGTATGACCCAGGAGTTCAGCTGCACGTATGCATCCAGGAGAAGTGGATACATGCATTTATATACAGGCTTCTATGTGAATGTTCACAGCAGCATGATCTTCAGTAGCCTAAAGGAAGGAACATCCCAGGTGTCCGAAAACTGATGAATGGATAAACAAGTGTATATTCCATATACAGTGGAATATTGCTTGGCCATAAAAGGGATAAAGCACTGACACAAGCTACAATGTGGACGAACCTTGGAGACATGGTGCTGAGTGACAGAGGCAACGCAGAAGGCCACATGTTTATGGCATGTCCAGAATAGACAGATCCACAGAGACAGAAAGTAGATTGATTAGCCATTGCCTGGGCTGAGGGTGGACAGTGATAGCTAGTGAGTACAGGATTTCCCATTTGGGGTGATGGAATGTTCTAGAACTAGCTAGTGGTGATTCTTACACAACTTTGTGAATATACTAAGAACCAGTGAATTGTACACATTGAATGGGGGTATTTTATGGTATGTGAATATTATAAAAATTAGAAAATTCTTTTCTTTTTTTTTTTTTGAGACGGAGTTTTTCACTCATGTTACCCAGGCTGGAGTGCAATGGCGTGATCTCGGCTCACCGCAACCTCCGCCTCCTGGGTTCAGGCAATTCTCCTGCCCCAGCCTCCTGAGTAGCTGGGATTACAGGCACGCGCCACCATGCCCAGCTAATTTTTTGTATTTTTAGTGGAGACGGGGTTTCACCATGTTGACCAGGATGGTCTCCATCTCCTGACCTCGTGATCCACCCGCCTCGGCCTCCCAAAGTGCTGGGATTACAGGCTTGAGCCACCGCGCCCGGCAGAAAATTCTTTTCTTAAAAGAAAGTTGGTAGCTGGGTGTGGTAGCTCACACCTGTAATCTTAGCACCGTGGGAAGCCGAGCGGGGAGGATTGCTTGACCCCAGGAGTTCAAGACCAGCCTGGGCAACATAGGAAGAGCCCGTCTTTCTTTTTAAAATTACTTGTAGAGACAGGGTCTCACTATATTGCTCAGGCTGGTCTCAAACACGAGGCTCAAGCGACCCTCCCACCTCAGCCTCCCAAAGTATGGGAATGACAGGCATGAGCTACTGACCTGGCCTCTCTTAGCTTTATCTCTGTGACAGGTTGTGATGTATAGATTAATCATCTATCACCTAGTGGACACGTTGACGTTTGTGACCAATGGACAGCAAAATGCACTAGGAACACAACTTGTTAACATTTAAAGCATCAGTGCTTTGTTTATGCCTGCCTACCTCCACAGCACATATACTACAGTTGGAGCTGTAGTTGTTCATGGGATGTTTTCACCTCTCGTGGGCCTATATTGGATCATCAGGACACAGAGTTCTGGCCACAGAGGAGTAAGTAGCATTTTCTTTAAACTGTGTCCCACTTTGGGTTTCTTTTGGTTTTTTTTTGAGACAGAGTCTTGCTGTGTTGCCCAGGCTGGAGTGCAGTGGTGGGATCTCAGCTCACTGTGACCTCCATCTCCTGGGTTCAAGCTATTCTCCTGTCTCAGCCTCCCACGTAGCTGGGATTACAGGAGTCTACCACCATGCCCAGCTAATTTTTGTATTTTTAGTAGACATGGGGTTTCGCCGTGTTGGCAAGGCTGATCTTGAACTCGTGACCCCAGGTAATCCGCCTGCCTCAGCCTCTCAAAGTGCTGGGATTACAGGTATGAGCCACCGTGCCCAGCACCTACTTTGGGTTTTTGATTTATCCCTCTGTGAATAAGCATCCTAGTCCATTCTTTAGGTCTGACCTCCCTGTCTCTGTTCCCCTATTTTTTTTAAATTGTGGTGAAATAGAAATTTTTTTTTTTTTTTTTTTTTTTTTTTTTTTTTTTTTTTTT